TTAAATTAAAATATTATTTTAAAAATAATATACAAAAATTTGCATAACTCCAACATATTTAAACATGGCTATAAGCATGGCTTCTTTTCCAACACGCGCAAAAGCATAAAAACGGAGTAAAAACAAGCGACACTGATTGCATTATCCATTAAATCCTCAATGGTGCCCTTTGTACCACAAGATCGTAACTTTACCTAATTCTTTTGTACACATTTTAAGAGGTGAAGTAATTCTTGTACTTTTTTTTATTTAATAAATTATTTTTATTTATTGATAAAAAAATAAATCCTCAATGGTGCTTGTACACCACTTATTAATTAATGGAAATCCTTGCAACAACACAAGTGAGCTAATTATTTTAAGTAACATGCTTTGAATATTCTTGAAAAGATGTTTCTAGGTACTTTCCTATCACATTAACTTTCGAAGTTGGTTTGAAATCCAATTAGCTTTGGAGAACTGGGAAGCAGAAGAACTTCATGTTAATTGCTTCCTACTGCCTTTTGATGAAAAGTTATAATTTAAAATCAACATAAAAGTGTTTTTTTAATGGGATTACATATTGAAAGTGCAAACATAATACTAAAAATATTAAAATATTTTTAATGAAAATTTTTTAAATTTATTTATTAATGATAATTTGGTAATTTTAATACCGAAAGTATACTTTTAATATATATTTCAAATTAACGTTAAGAACTGATTCACTAATAAATAAGTGTTATTTTGTAAATCATATTTATAATTTAAGTTTTGAAATTGACACCTAAAAAATTAATTTTTTCAAGTGTATCAACTATCAAGTCAATGTGTGAGGTGCAGTTTTCAAATGACAAAAATATGACATAAGGATCCAAACTAACACAAAATTTATAATTTTGAATCTGAACTTCAATTGCACTCAATTAAGGTCCTAAACTCCACAAAATTCTCAAATAAGGTCCCAATTGGACGAAAAATTAACTTCCGTCAAATCTTCTACACACCGTTAATATTCCGTCACACCGTTAATGCCTGTCCCCCCCTATTTTTTTTTTTTTCCCTCTCTTTCTCCTTTCCCTTTCTCTTTCCTTTTCCCTTTCTTCTTCTCTTTCAACTTCCACTGGGTTCTTGAACCCAACGAACCTAGTAACCCAGTTGGGTTCCATTTTTTTTTTTTTTGCTCTCTCTCCTCTTTCTTCTTCCCTTTCCTTTTCCCTTTCAACTTTTGCTGGGTTCGCGAACCTAGGAACCCAGTAGCTGATGCTGGGTTCCATTTTTTTTTTTTTGTTGCTCTCTTTCCTCTTTCTTCTTCCTTTTCCTTTTCCCTTTCAACTTCTGCTTGGTTCGCGAACCTAGG